GAACCCTAAGGACCCCACCGGCATCACGACACAGTACAGACTGCTCGTCCCGCGTCTGTTCTGGGATGACGCGAACGAGGCTGGAGCTCTGCAACAGCCTGCCCCAGCCGGCTTCAAGCGCTTCTTCAGCTTGAAGAAGAAGGACACAGGCCGCCGCCCGTCTCAGGATGTGGGAAGTGAGGAGCAATTCGATCGTACTCCCTCTGGCCGACCGCAGACTGGAATGCCTCCCGCCGGACGGGAAGCGTATGATGTGCCAAGGGCCGCGAGATACGAGTCACCTGGAGGCTACGACTCGTCCCGAACATATGACTCTTCTCAGCGGTACGATTCGCCTGCGAGGTATGAGCAGCCACAAGCTGCAGGCGGGAGGAGGTGAAAGGAATGCGCACGATGTATGGGGATGGATTAATGAGCTTGCTTTTTCCTTTTCTGTGGGAGTCAGGTTTTGGTCTCCTGAATTTTCGTTCATGGCATATTGAATTCGGGCATCATCGCATTGGCATTGCGAAGGAGTAAGATTGACGAGGGCACAAAAGTTTTTGGATCGCCGGTCCCTCGGACTAGGAGTTTCGGTATCTTATCTGCATGGCTGATGCCTTAATGAAGACTACGAACTCGAATAATTGGCGCACATGAGTGACATGCATTGTCAGTGAAAGATGAGTTTACATAAGGCAGGAGTTTCTTCCAAGGTCACGAATCAGCACACGGAGGCGGGGATATGAAATTCGTATTTGGGCAGAAGCTCTGTTCAAGACGTTTTGGGTCCCTCTATCCCAATCGTCTCGATGTGCGGTAATATTTTTATGATATCAAACTTTTTGTAGTCTGTCGCTCGTTAGCATCCTTTTGGCACCAGCAACAGCACACCATGCAACCAACCTTTTTGGACTCAGTAACAAATGCCGACGTGTTTCCCGCAGTCTCTATCTCCGAGACCGCGACACATCGGCAAGGCCAGCTCTCCTCAGCTGACCTTCTATCTCCGTTCCCGCGTGGTTCTACATCCCGTGCCGTCGTCCCCCATCTTGCTGCAACCATGGCAAGTTTTCGTGGTTACTTCAGGGAGGGGAGGCTATCGTTCGAAAGCGACTCCGAGGCCGCACGATCACTGGATATCCTCACCGTCCTTGGCACCGCCGGCGTCCCTCTCGGCGCTCCTGCTCCTGCTCCGGCTGCGGCTGCGTCCGCGGCCGCGGTTCTGGGCCCTCGCGCCGCCGCGGGCGTTGGCGCCGCCCTTGCCGCCGGGGGGAGGGCGGACGAAGGCGAAGTCGACGTAGACGGTCTGGTCGAGGAGCTTGGTCTCGTGGGCGTCGTTGATGGCGGCGCGGGCTTCGGCGAGGGTTGCGTATTCGATGAGGGCGTAGCCCTGTGAGATGGCATGTTAGCTTCTATCCCCTCTTGATGCGCCACAAGCTGCCAGTGTAGAGGGCAGATGGAAGGTGAAATAATTCGTACCTTGACGTAACCGCTTCGTCTGTCGAGGTTGAGGTGCAGGTTCTTAATCTCGCCGTACTCGCCAAACTTGTCCTGGATGGTCTCCTCGTCGGCCTCCTCGTGGACGTTGGTGACCATGACGATCCAGCCCTCGATGGAGCGGACGGCGGTGGCGCGGCCGTGGGTCTGCATTTCGGACTCGTTGCGGGCGGGCGCGCCGCCTGTTGTTTGGGCGGCGGAGGGGGAGGGGGGGTTGTCGATTTCCATTTCTACGTCGGCCATTTTCGCGGTTATGTTTTGGGAGGTGTTGGGTTGAGTTGGGTGTCGGTGGAAAGACGGTTGGCGAGACGCGGGGAGGAGGTGCGTGGGTGACGTCGGTGAGAGGTGAGGTGAGGATGTATGAATCGTGGGTTCGTATGGCGGGGCGCGGTGGGAGTTGTGGTGGACGAGGCTGAGAATTGTTGCCGACGATGGCAGAGAGACACTGAAAAAAAGTGGAGGGACGTTGGATTTTGGAGGTACGTATCTTTGAGCTTGGGCACGGGCTTGCGGGTGGCTTTCTGAGTGGGTGGGGGAGTTGGCCAATTGCTCGTGCTGGTGACAGCTTCACATCTTTGAGGTTGAAAAGACTCAAATCAATATCATGACATGAACTCAAGACTTGATATTATTTTCATTTATGGTATTGTTGTTCTTAATGCTGCCTCTTGATTTGAACCTGAACGAAAGCATACCACAACACTGCTAAGACCATTGATAAATCATGCAAGCCGGCTTGAAGAGTCTCTGAGAACAATCCAGAGCTGTATGATTACTTATCGTGAATGATCAACATACGTCATGGTCTTGGTCTAGCAGTAAGATGGCAATTGGCTGTGAAATTAAACCAGGAACACGTGGATGATGACACTGGCTTCATATCACTATAGAAGCAGCCGAACACCCGTCTCAGCCCTATCCACCGTTCAAAGACAGCCTGGCCTGAATCCAAGATTGACGAGGCGTTCTTCATGTCGTCGTCGTCTCAGAAGATTTGAGACGAACGGTCATCTGGTTTCACTGCTGAGCCTCGTTCTCACCTTCAGGACGGGTGTCTGAAGCAAATGATGATACCCCACCGAAGGGCCAACAATGCCCAGGGTTTTGGCCGCTAAACTGCTGCCTACGATATTTTGGGGACGCAGGACAGGTGAAGGTCCAGCTGCTCAGGGGTGAATGCTGCAAATCATGGCATGGGAGAAGTGCGACCTGCGGCCTGCCAGCATGGGAGATTGGATGCCGAGGAAGCGAAAAATGCAGTGCAGCATGGGAAGACGCAAGCCAAGCAGGACGTGAGAGTGAGAGATTTGGGGCACGGCGGCCGGGATGATGGTTGTTTCATCGTTTCCGTTTCACTACGCCGGGGATAACGGACGGCTTCGGCCCAGGGGTGGTGGAGGGCGACGCGTCGATCAGCATCGCGAAATGCTTTCCCCTGATTTAATTGTCGCCGTCTGGTTCGTCGCTTGGCAGATTTGTACGGAGATGAAAATCCGCAGTCCATGCAACCCTTTAGCCAAGACACGAAGCCTGCTGTACCTTTTTCGTTCCTTCTTACCGTCTTACCGAGCACTGTCCGCGTATTCTGGGCCCATTGCCCATTGAGAGGAGGGGAAGGGGGGAGCTTTTTTGTGTTAAATTATGTGGATTGGACAAGATCCTTGGCGGATGCGTGTTGTTTGCACTGCCTCGAGGGGGTGAGATTGTTGGTTTTTGTAAGTGGTGTGTTTGCGATATAATTGAGGAGGTATTTCCATTGCCCCTGGATTTATTTTGACAAAGATCTTTTTGGATGCACTGCATTTTTCGTGACTTTTTCTCGAGAAACATCTTCCCCAGTGATTGACCGTCAATCCTTTGATCTTTCCCAGTCGATCCGTCCACCTCAGCAGATCGCGAACGACCATCGTCCTCACACACTTTGCGACAATCGTAATCACAACATCCCGTCAAAATGGTGGTCCAAGAACAGCCTCAGCCAATGGCGCAGACCATGCAGCCGAACCAGCCGCAACAGAACCCCAACGAGCTTACGAAGGAGGAGAAGGATAACGAAGACAAGAAGACCTGGACCTGTGTAAGTCGAGACCCTCTTTGACGATCGTGGAGACGTGGACGAGCGAGTTCGCTAATCGGACGTTGCTGCAGGCCCAATGCTGCTCCAGCTGCCTCGATTGCATCATGATGTGCATGCGCTCTTGAGACGTCGAATCGATTATTCGGAAAAAATTTAAAATCACGACAGGTGCTGGAGTTCTCGACATCTCCAGGCGTGTCGGGTCAGGATTCGGCGCTCGGGGTTCTTTTTGGTGGATGTGGTACGCGGCCTTTTTGATTGCGATTTCCGATGGGCGATGGATACCTCTTGACAGTGGGAGTTTTGGGCGTTTGGTTTCTGAATGACGGCCGCGGCCGCGCACCCCGAGTGCCTCACGATATTCTTCTTCAGACTCTGAAATGGAGTGCGCTCTTCGAGCGCTTTTGCAATGACTACAAAGATGATCCCAAACAGTCGGTTCACGATGATGACTTGCGCGCTGAGGTTGCTGATCCACAACCGGCTGCTTGATACCAGGGTAACAGCACTAAGCATCCTTCGTGCCCGTCTATTTTCAGATGGAATCGATAATTCTGGTGCAGTCATCATCAGGCGCACCCCAGTCCTGGATATTGGGACAGCCTTCAGATGCCGGGTGCCGGAGGTGGTGTGGGGGCCGGCACCGGCATGGTGTCGGCGAAGTCTCCGCTCAAGTCCGTTTCGGCTTCCCGAACAAAACCAAGTTCAAGATTACTTACTGCACATGATTGTATCAAATTCTCTTTTCCCGGCCCACATGAGTGAATTTAGTTCTTCTAGAAGAGAAGTAATACTAGATGTACGACACATAGAGCCAGGCTTTTCTCGGAATGATAATTTACCTTCGGCGAACTCTGGGTGCCAATCCACTAATGCCGGCACCATGGGCGCTGTGGCTTCTACACTGATAGCGACAGCGAACCGCTAAAGGCGCTGGAGGCTCTATGCATCTAATCTACCTACTTAACCCGACGCCAATTACATGCTCTTACAATAAAACCCAGCTTTTGTTGTTCCCATGGCACCTTAGATATCTTCTGTGGACTATCGGTCTTAACTTGGCTTTGTTTTTCGTATTAAAGGTGCTTCATATAATGAAAGAAACGAGTGGATGGCCAGCAACAGAGACAGCAACTAGGGCAAAGGCGGGAACAGAGACGGTCCTCTATATTCTAACTGCGGAACAACCTGTGTAAGTGAAGACTTTCAACATCGGAAGTCATGTCGGTGGCTTGGTAATTTCATAAGGGTTCATCCGCTACGAAGTTTTTCTTGCCCGAGACCGCGAGAAGCGCCGATTCAGCGATGGAAGGAACTTCGGTAATTAGCCTGCTGCCTTGATGAGGTGTGATCCGCTAATGGCTCTTCAGCTGATACTTAAGCATGACTGCTTCCTTCGCGCAGCGCATCCTGCGAGAGCGACCACCAGCAAGAACAATTAGAGATGCCGTACGAATACCATCCGCTGCAGGGCGCAGACATTCGTCTGCTCACGATTGAGCCCCTCGAAAATGGCGAGGAATTCGCAGCTCCCATCCGTTGCACTCTTGAGCATGTCGATTTGGAGGCATTAGCGAGAGGTTCAGGCTTCAAGGGCCAGAACCACGTCTGGCCGGAGACCGAGTCGACTCGCGATGTGGCTGCAATCTTCAAGGACCCCGAAGACGCGCAAGCCCTGGAACAAGTCGGTGGTGCCACCAAAAGCGTCGAAGAACAATCGTCGGACTGGAACAGTAACGACAACGACTTACCATGGAGGCACGTCTGGGGCGACTTTCTCGCACTTTCTTACGTTTGGGGCCCGCCAACTCCAATTCAGTACATCTTCCTCAACGGCCATCAGTTTCCCGTCGGACCAAACCTATTCCAGGCTCTTCTGCACCTCCGTCCAAACGAGAGAATCCGCCAAGGTTTCAAACTGTGGATCGACGCCATCTGTATCAACCAAGAAGACATCGCAGAGAGAAGCGCGCAGGTGGGCCGCATGCGAGACATCTATGCGGCGGCGTGGCAGGTCGTGATCTGGCTAGGCCCAGAAGCTGACGACAGCGAGCTGGGAATGTCTGCTTTGAGCTGGGTTGCTGCTAGGAACAGAACTCCCTCCCCGTACGATGGTTTCTACCGCGAAAGCACAAAGATCGATGCCCGTCCGCTGTTCATCATCTGGGGAACATTCAAAAGTCCTTTGAAGAAGACAGTCTACAGAGCGTTGTTTTCGTTACTTTCCAGGCCTTACTGGCAAAGGATGTGGATCTTGCAAGAGGTGGCCATGGCCCGTCCCGATGCGCCGGTTGTCTGCGGCAAGAGTTGCTTGCCGTGGAGGGACATACACGAAGCCGCAACGTTCATTAGCAACGACGAGACGAGGTTCGGCCGTGAGCTTGTGGGCAGCACCCGGCCCAGGATCTTGGATTCTTGGTCTTTCGAGTTCGCGAGAGACAGAGTTGTCCAAGAGAGGGATTGGTCATCAGAGAGAATGTGGAATCTTCTAATGGACATGACCAAGGTCCAGGAGAATCAGAAGGAGATTGCACCTGAGGAAGACAGAAGGCACCCCTTTGAAGTCCTACAGCCCCTCGTCTTAGCAAGAGACGCAAAGATCACAGAAGAGAAAGACAGAGTGTATGGGATCTTGGGTATCAGGGCGATTGCAGACAGGGTCGACATCACCCCCAACTACAAGCTTTCCATGGAGACGATATACCGCGACTTTACGGCGCAGCTTGTGTCAAAAGGCAACTTGGAAATACTCCGATTCGTGTCGAAAGACGGAGGCCGCATTCGAGCGCGGTGGAATCTGGAAGATGTTCCCTCCGCCTTAAGCTATCGAAAGCTGACACCCGTCGTTGGACCTGTGTTGAACTCCTTTTCGAGATCAGACAAGCAGGATTTGATTGGCACGACATGCCACCACGAGCTCCCTACTTGGGCTGTCTGCTGGACCTGCAAACCTGCGCCCACAGCCCAGCTGCGAGGTCCTTATTGTGCAGGTGGCGTGGGAAGACTCTCACCTCCAGTCATTTCGCCTGATGACCACAGCCTCACAGTTCAGGGGGTCATCTTCGACACTATTGGCAGCCTGGGCTCGTTTCATCCCGCAGAGGTAGACGACACCTACCCCCAGAATGCCGTTGCGACCACCCACAGTGCTTATGGCGGACTCGAAGACACCAGGAACGCCCTGTGGCGTACTCTCCTTGGTGACACAACAGTAGACGGTGGCATCCAAGCCTCAGAAGCGGGAGCCTGGTTGCTTGACCCCAAGATTTGGAACCAAGGTGTCGCAGGTGTCTTCACGAACGGCTTCGGTCTAGACGAGCTCATGTCTCGAAACAAGAAGCTCGTCTTAGGCGGCCACACACTGGAACAACTCATCTCCGGTGTCGTTCGGTCTGGTTGGCGGCAGAAGATCAAGAGCACTGAAAGGATTTACAATCCGACGGAGGAGCAGCGTGGGGTGTTGTCTTGGGCGATGAATGTGACAGCCTGGAGAAGGCTCATTGGAACCACCGCGGGGAGGGTTGGGCTTGTACCTGCCGCGGCCAGAGCTGAGGACAAGATTGCGGTCTTTCGAGGCTGTAGTACGCCAATTGTTCTCAGGGCTTTGGAGGACCGATGGGAGGTCGTTGGGGAGTGCTATGTGCATGGAGTTATGCAAGGAGAGGCCATATCTAGCGCATCAGAGATAAGTCATATCATCTTGTGTTAGCAACCTAAGCAAGATTTTTGCGCGATATTTCCTGAGGCTTCGTAAGCCCTATTGGATTGATCAGGCTGGACTATCCCTCCACTAGTGAACATCCACATCCGCACAGTGACCCTGCAGACACCAATCAAGCTGCAGTCATTCAGCAGGCTCCAACCACGGCCACAACTTCTAACCTCCGACCCTTAGCTCTCGGGAGATCAGGCTGCAAGAATCAGCCATAATATTTCAAAGACAGTAACTCGAGTTCTTCAACCGCTCGCTTGTAAATTTAGGATTTCCTCATATGCGTTCTCAAGCTCCAGCCGTGTTAGCTCTCAACTCCAGTTCCAGCTACTTCTGGCTGTCGGTTTGAGAGCCTTTCTGGCTGAAGGACAGAATGGAAGATCACGTCTCTGACGAGAACAAACGACAAGACTCGGAAGGCGATAAAGAACAACGGAACCCTCCCAAGGTCGAAAACAAAGATAACCTCGACCGGTACACTATAGGCTGGGTTTGCGCTCTTCCAAAAGAGCAAACGGCGGCGAGAGCGGTGCTAGATGAAGAGTTCCGGCATGTTCACATTCGTAAGGCAGTCGGCGACACCAACACTTACACCCTGGGCTCAATTGGCAGACACAACATCGCCATAGCATGCCTCCCTAAAGGTCAACTAGGCGTCATCAGGGCCTCAAAGGTTGCAACTAGTATGACCTCTACGTTTCGGAACATGAAATTTGTCTTGATGGTGGGCATTGGAGGCGGTGTTCCGTCAGGGCCAAACGATGTCAGACTCGGTGACGTTGTCGTCAGTACTCCCACGGGACAGTATCCCGGTGTCGTTCAGTGGGATTTCGGAAAAACGAAGGACGGCAAATTCGAAAGGACCGGGTCCCTTAACAATCCACCCACGCTTCTCCTTACCGCACTGTCCAAAGTAGAAAGCGACCACGAAATGGAAGGGTCAAAGATTCAAGAAAACCTCGACAAAGTTTTCAAGAAATTACCGAGGCTGAAGGCTAAGTACGGAAGGTCTGATCAGCTCGAGGATTATTTGTTCGCGCCAAATTACAATCATATCGATCGTCGTCCGGATCCGATTGCAGCACCGGCTTCTAGGGAAGCTCACGACCAGTCGCACAGAGGTGCTGGTTGTTTGTACTGCGACCATACAAAAGCAAGAAAAAGAGACGTCGGAGAACCTGTCGTACACTATGGTCTGATCGCTTCTGGTAATCAGGTCATCAAGGATGCCGCTTTCCGTGACGAGATCAGTAACAATCTCGGTGGCAACGTTCTGTGCGTCGAAATGGAAGCGGCCGGTCTAATGGACGATTTCCCATGCCTGGTGATTCGCGGGATTTGCGACTATGCCGACTCTCATAAAAACAAAGCCTGGCAAGAGCACGCTGCCGCTGTTGCCGCTGCTTTCACGAAAGAGTTGCTCGAATACGTGCCACCAGTTGAGGTTGATGGCCAACGTCCGGCATGGGAGCACTTATCTGAGGAGGTCCGGAGAGGGTTTGAAGACTGTGAGTCTCTCATCACAAACCGTCGACGAAAGTGACGTAGACTCAACTTCGAAAACAGTCCAAATTTCCACTGCCATCACAAATGAGAATACCAAAGTACTGCGAGGCCAGGCTGACAGTAGTGAGCGTGACAGGATCCTTGATTGGCTCACTCCCGTCGAGTACGGCGCTCAACAAAGCCACTTCCTAGGGAGACTCCAAGATGGTACAGGCAAATGGTTTCTCGAAACCGACAAGTTTATCGCTTGGCGAGACTCTGAACGACAGACTCTGTTTTGCTCTGGAAACCCTGGAGTTGGGAAAACTATTCTTACATCGTTTGTTATCGACCAGATCAGCACACAGTTCAAGGACGATCGCAAAGTCGGAGTTGCCTACATCTTTTTCAACTTTCGGAGCGTCCAAGATCAGGATCTGAAGGACCTGTTCGGTAGCCTGACGAAGCAGCTCGGGAGACTACTTCTGGATTTACCCGATTCTCTGAAAAAGTTGCACAAAGACCACTCAATTCGTAAAACACGGCCATCGGCTACGGAATTTTTTGAAGCTCTTCGCAGTGTTGCGCTTCGTTTTTCGCAAGTTTATCTTTTCGTCGATGCACTGGACGAGCACAACATGGGCGCTCACAATCGATCGTCATTTTTATCTCATCTCCTTGATTTGCAGAGGAATCTATCATCGTCCATCAACATTTTCGCAACTTCTAGAAAGGTTCCGGATGTCGAAAACATGTTTTCAGAATCACCAAAAATTGAAGTTGCCGCTGTGAATGACGATATCCACCATTTCATCAGCAGCCGTCTACCAAATGTGCTATCAGGCATCGACAGAGACCTTGACCTCGACACTCAGATCACAAAGGAAATTGTGACTTCGGCAGACGGAATGTAAGAGCTTATCGTTTTGTTGAGATTAGTTTACTCGCGGTATTAATGGCGATTCAGATTTCTTCTGGCACATCTCTATCTAGACTCGCTGGAACACAAGACATGCGCAGCCGATGTACGGTCTGCACTGAAAATTCTCATGGAACATCAAGGAAAACATCCATTGTATCGCGCCTACGACGAAGCAATTTCAAGGATCGATGATCAACCGCACGACTACAAAGTCCTTGGCAGAAACGTGATATCCTGGATCTCGAATGCGATGCGTCCACTCACCGTTGTCGAACTTCAGTATGCGCTTGCCATGGAACCAGAATGTTCCAAACTTGACAATAATTACAGGGAAAAGTTTGTGAAGGAAGAACTCATGGTGTCTGTCTGTGCAGGACTTGTTACTGCACACGATAGTGGAACGACCCGCATCATCGAGCTCGTTCACAAGACGACCCAGGACTACATTCAACAAAAGCAGCAGGAACTATTTCCTGATGCCCACCGCGAGCTGACGGAAACATGCAGCACATACCTATCACTTATTACCTCTTTGAATTTGGACAGAGAAGGTGTTGCAGTCCGGCCTCATGACCCTTTTCGTCACTTCAACAGAGAAGTTAGGTTCCCCCTTGACTTCTTCGACTACGTGCTGAACAACTGGTGGCACCACGCCAAGAAATGCTCCACGATACCCTTGAAAATGATCGAATGGCTCGAGCATAAAGACGCAAGACTTGTGCGATTTTTGCTGTATAGCTCGGAGATTCGTGATGAGCCCGCGGTTGGCGGGGGCCGGCAAAAGCGATTCTACTTTGAGCTCAGGAACGGGCCTCCGATCGATGGATCAAGTGCGCTGCATTGGGCAGCTTTCTTTGATCTACACGCCGCCATTCGAATCCTTCACCAGAAAGGTCACAAAATGGGTGCTTTGGATTCCGCAAATCGTTCGCCTCTCTGGTACGCTCTCAAGGAGGGCAACTTTGAGACCGCTCTGGCCATGGTCAGGTTGGGTGCCGACACGGATCAAGCAACAGAGGAACCTTCTTCCTTCCTTCCTTTGGCTACGGGAAGCGTGGAACTTCTAGCAACCCTCCTTAATCACGACAAGAGAAGCGATTCGGCCGAGCAGGCGTTAAAGGCGGCAATGGTCAATGAGCACCTGCCTGCCATTAAACTTCTGCTCGAACGTGGTGTATCCATTGATCAAACGACTCTTGAGACTTCTTTAATTCGTTCGGCTAGGGGGAACGTGGAACTTCTCACATTCCTTCTTGATTACGATAAGAGAAAAATCTCAGCCGAGCAGGCATTGCGGGTGGCAATAGCCAATAAGAATTTACCCGCCGTTAAACTTCTGATCCAGCGTGGTGTACATATTGATCAGGAAACTCTCGATACTTCCTTACTTCGTTTGGTTACAGCAGACGTGGATCTTCTGGTAATCTTGCTGGATTGCGATAAGGGAGAAGACTTAGCTGGGCGAGCCTTACGGGAAGCAGTAGTCAATGGGCATTTGTCTGCTGTTCAACTTCTGCTCAAACGAGGAGCGTCTCCTAACTATGTTGAGCATAAGGATGGACATAGCCAGACGATTCTCATGGATGCGGTACAATGTAGGAACGTTGACATTGCCAAGCAACTCTTAGAGAAAGGGGCAAATGCTGACGCAGTGCTTTGTGGCCAAACGGTGCTGAGCCTTGCTTTAGGTGGATTTGCGAACCGTCACAAACTGACTCGGCTGCTTCTTGATCACGGAGTAACTGTCAACTCGTCGGAATTTGGCCAGGCGCCTTTAGTAGTTGCATGCAAATCAGGGAAAGCTTCTTTGGTAAAGCTGCTGATTGAACGAGGCGCAAATGTGGCAGCCGTGGGGCATGATGGCCAGCCTGCAATGTGCGCAGCCTGTCACTTCCTGCCCCCAAGATTTGGAAGGGGTGAGATCATCGAGATACTCGAGCTTCTGCTACACAATGGGGCCGACATCGAGGCTGCAGACAGTGATGGGAAGACAGCCCTGGCACACGCTTGTGGTGTGCCGTCCTTGTCGCCAAGTAGATTAGACAAGGCTGATGAAGTTGTCATGTTTCTTCTGAAGGAAGGAGCCAATCTGGAGACTAGAGATAAATGGGGACGAACGCCATTGTCTATAGCCTCAATCAATGGGCGCAAAAGAGCTATAGCTGAGTTGCTTTGTGCCGGCGCTAAGAAAAGCACCATTTATGATGGATCAGGGGAATATTTTCTAGACCCGGCGACGAAGTCGGAGAGCAAAGCTCGCTGGGAGGCATGGGCACAGTATCCGATGGCAATTTCTTTCTGGCCCACGAGCGGGAATTACCATCCAGAGATGAGAAGAGAAGATCCTTCGGGGCTCAATGTTAGCGAGGAGGTGGTCTAAGGGATTGAACTTGGCAAAATGGAATTGCAGAAATTGATGGGATGAAAGGGGGCGATCTGAGGATACATCGTAGATTGAAGCACGTGGACTTCAATTAGGCAGTGTATTCTTAGAGCTAAGTTATCTTTGTCTGAAGCCGTGCTGGAACTTACATACTCTCCTAACCCTGTGGCAGCGAGAATGCGTATAGAAACGCTAAGGGACTTGACCTCGCAGGCTCTCTGAGTGGACTCATGCATAGGAGATAATTTACCGCAGAAACCACAGAGATATAAAACTCTATCCTATATGCCAATGGTATCTTTGCAGTACAGATGAGTACAGATGAGCAGCAGAGCTGTCCACCTTCCAGACTTCATCCTCAGTGCACCAGGCAAGCAACTGAGGTCAAACTGCCACCACCCAGCCAATCATAAAAACCCACCCTCATCTCCACTCCACGACCGCCGCCCCACAAGGTGATCGCGCCCATTCTGCCTCCACCCACCGCCCTATGAAGTCTATATAAACACCACCAGTCTCCCATCTTTTCACATTTCTTTTACTCTTCTTTTTTCTTCATACTTACCTTATCTGGCCGTCTGGGGATCAAGAAATCCGGGCGGCAGAGAGGGAGGCCTGCATTGCACATCGCGGAGTCGACCTCTCTCGATTGCCCTTCGGGGCCATCGTGGGTGCAATTTTTGATATATTCTTCCAAATCGGAAACCACTTTTCATTGTGCTCGTCGCCCTTGCGCGGCGGTATGAAGAAGAGCTTGCCTTCTCACCCATATCATTTCACGCGCAAATAATGCACCGTTACTGAAATCTGGGCTCATCCCTTCAGGTAAGGAATACTCTTCGCATTCCTTTCCATCGCGTCGTGACTGCCGCCGACTGAGCCCTCGCGCAGATACTTTGGGTAGGCTGTGGTTCAGACTGCTCCGACGCACAATTGCTGGCGTCGAAGCTAAACTAGCTGGAGGCAAAGAGTGTCGTGACCTGTGATGAGAACTTTTCTCAGACAGCGCGACTGGCGTCCCCACGAACTCTTTCATACATTCGAGCGCGCCCACGAGAAGAAACCGCGAGGCGACGCCGCGGGTCTCCCCAGGCATACGCGTCCAGGGCAGCGCGTCAGGTCGTTCGTTACCTGGTCGATGAAGAACGTCTTCTGGGTCCTGACGCGCCTCCCAGGGCATTCCGTAACTAGCCAAGTCACACAAGCATCACCTCGCGTTCATGCAGGCGTGTCTCCCTACCTCGTCGCCCGTTGCACAAGGTCACGAATTGAGGTCATTGATGGGTCATGCAAAGTCTGCAGGCAAACGTGGCCTCGCAGCCATACCTTTATGGCCTACTTGAGCACATGTTTCACAGCGTTTCACAGGCAACAATGATTCAAAAGCAATCTGCGTGTTTCTGACCCGGGGTATAATTCCTGTCCACAAACGACCTCTTGTGCCAAAGGGCCTAGATATACAACGCGGTCCAAACGCGATAAAACCGAACGATAAACAACCTTTTTTACAATCTCCGGCCCAGTCCTACTCCTTCTGCAATCAATGCCATGATGCCATAGAATGAAACCCATTAACGCCAAAAGGAAGCCTCAAGCACAGCCAGGCTCCTATCCCTGAATGCCCTCCCAAGTAATCTGCTCCGTAATCTCTCTGACGCTCAGTCCTGTAATGCTGAATACGGTCACGTCGAGCTCTTCATCTGACATGTCCTGTCCGACCTGCTTCTGACCCTCCAAAACGTCGTAGAGGGCGTAAATCTGGCCCTTCTTGACTTCCTCGGTCGTCATCATGACCTGGATGTCTGCGTACAACTGCTTGCGCTTGGTCTCGCTGAGGGCGGGGTTGTGGCCGTCGTACCGAGCCTGCTTCTTTGCCCTGTCCATCTTCATGTGCTCCAATTCATCCTCCAGTCCCTTGATGACCTTTGCCAGAGCGTGTCCAGGGGCCTGAGAGGGTCGTACAGTGTTGTCCTCTGTAGACATGCCCAACTGCTTGTACTGTTCCGAGGGAGGAACTGGCCTGGAAATCTTGATGCGCTTCTTGCCCTCGGCAATATCGGCCGCAGTAACCGTTCCTCGGTGAGCCTTGATGCGGGTGCAAACAATGCAGTTGGTGCAGCTGTGTCCCGACAAGCTGTCCAGAACACGGCGCGCATCAGACGACAGACCAGGGCAGTTGCCCTTGATTTCGGTGGTCGTGTTGTCCAGTCCGCCTTGGGTGATCAAGTCGATCGTCGTCGACTTGTTCTGAGAGGGCTTGGCAGAAGACTTGACCGACACGCTCTTTTGGCTCTGGCTGGTCAAGTTGCGCGTGGTGTTCGTCGTCTCTTGGCGAACAGTACGAGACTTGGAGGAACCCTCCTTCCGGCTCTTCACATCGAGGACGATGGATTGAGTTTGAGTGTGTTCGGGCGATTGCATGTTGTCTTCATCGTCTGCCTGGAAGGGATCCAGATCGGGAACAGAGCCGTTCTTGAGGGAGCTCTTGGAGGTGATGCGAGAGTTGCTGCTTCTCTTGCTGCCCTTGTTTGCGACATTCGAGGCCTTGGTTTTGCTGGTCGATGCAGATCGATCAGGCAGAGAGAAGGCGACCTTCTGGCCTTGGCTCGAAGAGCTTCTGGCACGAGAGGTGGACGGGCGCGCCTTGGGACGAGACTCGGCGACTGAGCTTTGCTGACTCTGGAAAGTGTCCTGGTCGTTGATACTGCGGTCTGTCTGCTCCGTCGTCTCAGTGATCTCGAGCGTCCTCTTGCTAGGAGTAGCACGTCTCGGTGTCTCCTTTTCGCCAGTCATGTCGATGACTCTCGAGTTCTGCGTGCTGTCAATCGTAATGTCAGGCATGAAGAATGCCGAGGTCATGTTCTCCTCCTCTTCCTCTTCCTCTTCGTCATCGTCCTCCACTTCCTTGTTCTTGTCAAGGCGCACGGAAAACTCCTCAGTCTTACCCAGAGGGCGACAGTGGTCAAGTTGCTGCTTGAGTAACTCAATTTCCTCCTTGAGACGCATGTTCTCGTCGTGAAGATCGTGGATGCTCTTCTCGAAGCCCGAGTTTTCGCGACGGAGAAGCTTGTTCTCGGTAAAGTATTTTTCGTTGTGGCGAACGAGGCTATCGTTGTCCTCCTTGAGAATACCCTTCTCCTGATCAAGAGTCTGAAGTTCTACCTGCAAAGCCTCAACCTCCTCATGAGCAGCCTGGATGTCTTCCTTGGAGTTTTCGGCGATTTGACGAAGCTCGTCGATCTCACTTCTGAGTGACCGGTTATTGTTGCGCAGCGACCTGTTCTCCTCTATGAGAGACTCGTGGTCCCGGCGCAAGATGTTGTTGTCCTTTCGCACCTCCTCCAGCTCTTGTTGCAAAGAATATTGTTCTCTGCGAAGGGTCTGGTTGTCTGCCTGAAGGGACTTGTTGTCCACTTGCAACACGTCGTTGCTGTGCTTGAAGCTCGACGTTTTCTGGATGGTTTCTCGGTTGTGGTTGATCTCCAGGGTGGCGTTGAGCTTCTCCTGTGTCTCGTGAAGCTCCTTGCCTTGCATCTCAATCTTGTCCATCAGTTCGCCAATGTTGACGCAAGCTTCAGAGAGCTTCTTCAAGGCCCGATCTCTCTCAAGTGACAAAGTGTTGTTCTCAACCTCGCTAATGCCGATTCGGGTGGTCGCTTGGTCAAGCCGGGATTGGAGGGCCGTCAACTGGGACTCGATGTCTAGGTCTGGTTAGTCTTCCGTCTCGTCCTAGAATTAAGCCTACTTACGTGTCCTCTCAGTGTTGTACCGTTCGTTGGCGGCGGTCTCAGGCTCCGACTCTGTCCGAGAGCCGAGGGCACTATCATTCGCCTTGCGGCCCTTCAATCGCTTGAGCTCGCTTTGCAGATGGCCCACCTGGTCCTCGAGATCCAGCGCATGTCTCTGCACCAGGTCGTCATGCTCTTGGAGATTGCAAATCTCGTCCCGGATCATATCCAGGGATACAAACATCTTCTCCTCATCCTCGGGAATCGCCAGACCGTCAACCTCAGCATGATCCCTGGGCGGCAGGGTCTCGACGCGATCACGAACGCGGCCATTCTTCACAAAGACAGGCACGCCGTTCTTTACCGCGCCGTCGAAACGGAGGTTTCCAGAGATAAAGTCATTGAGGTGGGAGATGTCAGGCATGAAGAATGACCGGGATGTGACGTTATTCTGGGCGGGGCTGTCGGTCGTCGCCGGTGATGGGAATGTATTCTTAATGGTATCGAAAGTGACGGGTGTAGCGTTGTTCGCTGGGACGCTCTCGACTGGTGCTGGCTTGGGCGTTGCCTGCGTTGGAGGGGCGAGGAAGTCTGATTTCCGGCGTTCGTTCTTAGCATGCATGGATGCCCGGCGGGCAGCCTTGTAGTTACCAGAGGCCGTGCGTGCGTGTTTTGCGAGAGGGCTCTGATGTCGTTGTTGATCGGGGTTGAAGCGGAAGTTGTCGGCGTTAATGTCGAAACGGAAAGGTGATTTCGAGATGTTGGACGACAGATCGGACTCGTTGTCGACGCGGGGCTGCATCTCAGCGCGCGTCCTCTTAGAACCTTGCCAGGTGTTGTCGTCTTGTGTATCGTCGTCAAGATTGGAGAGATACTTTTGCACGATGCTCCTGTGAGAAACGTCCTCTTTACGGCGTAGTGATCCGTTGGCCTTGGTGGTGGCCTTGTCGGTTTTTGTGTCGGCTTTCTTGGGCTTGCCGTAGAATTCAGGCCACTTGCGGTGAGCAGCTTCCAAGTCAACTTGAATCTTGCCGTTGTGGCGGTTCGTGACGCGGGCGATTTCTTCATTTAGTCTGCGCGTGGACTCGCCATCAGGGTCTGAAAAGACGGAAGTCATGGTCGGGCTGACAGTGCCGTGGGAGCCGGTGGAGGAAGGCGGGGAGTTGAAGGGGTTTTCGCGGTTGGCATTCATCTCCCTGAGAATGCGAGAGCGGTAGCGATTGTGTACTGGGTCGGTCTCCATGACTGCCCTTTCACGCGCCGGACGCG